TTTCGGAAGTGGAGGGTCTTATGATGGATCTGGAACGTCTCGCACGATCGCGACCTGCCTTCGGACAGAAGATCCAAGAAATCGAGTCCCAGAAGTTTTGCTACCTGCCCTTTTACGCCTTTCTGCTGAAACCAATGCACCGATTGCTCCAGTATCGGGCCATCCTCGAGCGTCTGATGCGTCAGTACAGCGAGTCTCACGTGGACATGCAGGATTGCCGGGGTGAGTCGTCTTCCACGCCCTCCTTGGTTGTGTACCGGCGTTTTTATCGTGGCAAACCTTCCTTTTTAATTGATATGCCCGCGGAGTCAGGACTGCTCTGCGGACCTGAAGGCGAACTTTCTCCTCGAGACCCCTTCTAGCAGATCGACTTTGGTATTCCAGCAACATCTGCTTCAAAAGTCTATTTGACAAACATCTGTTTCCGGCAATTCATCGTCGGACCTGTACAATTGCATTGATAATGAAAGTAGTAGAGTTGGGCAGTTTTACTAAATGTCTAATGATTAAAACTCATCGTTTTCACACTGCTCGCTTGCCGAGATCGGCATACCAAGGCTATTGCACTTGGGGAGTAGTATAGGCTATAAGTATTGGTCTTGGTTCGAGTACCTGGCGTGAAAGTCAATATCACGTGCACGGACATGCGTGCGACAATAGAATTCGAGATCGATCTAGTTTCACATTTCGTATAAACTGGAAGGCAGACATCCCAAGAAATGTAATTTCAAGGAAAGGCGTCCTTTGGGAAAATGAGGAGATTTATTCAATAAATTTTCGACGCTGAGTGCCCAGGTCGTTGTCGGACTTGAGAAAAATAAGTAATGTTCTTTGCACATTTTCGCAAGTTTGACGATGACCTCGGGATCCTGTGTCGAAAATTTACTAAATAGATTTCCTCATTTTCTCAAAGGAAGCCTTTCCTTGAAGTTTCACATTTACATAGCGAGGTCGGTGTGCATTTACTCTTCCACCTGTTCCTGTGTAGCAGGATACATTGGCCTAACAGCGATGCACCTGGAAACGAGGGTACGTGAACACATACCTGCCTGGTTAAGTAAAGGTGAAACTAGATCGCTCTCGAGTTCTCTTCTCGCACACCCTGTCAATACGAATCACCGAGTCGATCCTAACGAAGCTTTTCAGATTGGCTATTGGATGCCAGCTAACTCCTCCAAGGACTTACACCAACGGGTGCTAGCAACCGCCGACGCAGTGGCTATACGGCTAACGAATCTAGTGCTGTGTTGTCAGAAAACGCTAGTGCAAGCACTGTTACTTCCGTGGCCGACGCCAGATGGCGATCACATATCGTTTCCACCTTTAAGTGACAGTCTTTCACTCTCTGCAAATGACAGTAATTTTCGCTCCACGTAGCCGACCCATAGCCAATGCCCCCAGCCTATCCTAATTTCCTGCCCTTCTTCCCCCAACGCAATGACCTCTACGCTTCGATGTTGCTATGCGGGCGGCGTAAAAACGATGGGTTATAATCATAAATCAGTTATTGACCTTGTCCAGTTGTACTACTTTCATCATCCATGCA